TTTTCTATATGCGTGTGTGTGTGTATGCATGTATGCATGTATGCATGTATGCATGTATGCATGTATGCATGTATGCATGTATGTATGTATGTATGTATAGTTGCATAGTTGTCTAATCCCGTCCTATGTTCATATGACTGGAGCCAGACCGACTCGTGTGCCCCATGGAGGTCCTGTGCTTTCGCCGCATCGTGGACTGCTTCACGCCACCAGCCCCAGATAGTATCCTATCCTGCTACCAGCCAGGTGGGAGGCAAAAGCAGGCCAGTTCTGATGTTGTTGCTGTTCTGATGCCTTACGAGCCATACATAGAATAGGATTTGGTGAATTTACTTGGCATCACAGCAACCCTTCATGCATTGAAGCAGCTGTTAGCCGTCCGCAGGCGTAAGGCTTTCGAGACAAGCACCTCTAAGACTCAAAGTTTGTTTAAGTTGTGGGTATCTTGGTGTGGTGTGGGTGTCGTGCACCGTGTGTACGCGTTGTCCATGTGCTTGCTACGTCCTAGGACATTCAGCCCCTAACCTTTCCAACGAGGAGCATCTGCCACCGTTCAACAGTTTCCGTTGTTTCTGTCCCCGCATGCTGATTCATGCGGATTGGTTTTTACTTGACTGTGTTCTTGCCTTGCAAGATGTGCTTTGCATGCGAGTCCGGGTCAGCGCAATAACCCAATCTTTTCGGAGTTTCCTTGCAGCTGCTGGCTCTCCAAGGTTCGATGCCAGTGGCAAAACAGGCCCAAGCTGCCTGATCTCGATCGGTGATGGCTGGCAGGAGCCACTCGGAGCCAAGGGGTAAGAGCATCGCGAGAACCAGGACTCTCCCACAATCGTTGGCCCTTGTTTGCTTCAGAAGACTTAGGGCCAGAAACGGCGACCGGACTGAAGGGAATTGACTGCACCACTCCTTTGGTTTCAGCTGCAATTGTCCAGTCTAGCTTGCTCGTCCAGCTTGGTTCGCATTCTGGGCTTCCGCTGCTTGGCGATGCCTTGCAGCCAGACATCCGCCTGCAGAACTTTCCAGCACAGCCCACATAAACCAGAAGCGCTCGCGCCGCGACATTCGCATCCGGGGTTCGCCACTTTCGCTCAGGCGAGTGGCGGCGATGATTGCGGGCCAGGAGGGAACGCGGGGAACGTGAGCGCCGTGGGGGCTACAGGTGGAACAGCGTCACAGCTCCAGGATGTGGAGGCCTGCGTCAAATGCATCAAATTCTTGGAGCAGCCGGGGGTCCACGCCTTGGATTGGCCTTTCAACATCCCTCAACACCTCTGCTCTTCTCGTCTCTAGGTCGACCAGCTCGCGCGGGAGCTGGACTTGTGCTCGCAAGTTTTCGAAGGCCCACGCAGTGAAAAACTGCTGGTTGTCTTGATTGGCCACTGGTTGTGGCTTGGCCAAGCTTTGCCTCTCTTCGCGCCGTGCAGGGCTTTGTGGACATCCGAGCTGGGTTCGGCTCTCGGCTCTTGGAAACTTCCAGGAAACTTCTGCGACGCATCTCAGGTCGATGCTTGCTACAGCTACTCGAAGACTTGGGGTCTGGGCCTTGTCACCGTAGACAGAGCAAATCGGACAAACCTTGACACGCAGAGGATTGCAGCTGGAAGCGCGGGCAGACGACACTTCCGCATTGGGTGGATCTTTTGCAGCAGCCTGCAGCCTCAGCGTGGTGGAGAGACCTAAGCTGTTGCTTCTCGCATGCTGCGTGCTAAAGCATCAGGTAGAGGGAACAGTGGAGGTGGTTTCGACTGACACTGTCAGCAGCTTTGCTCGTGCTGATGCTGCTGTTTCTGTTGAGCACCAAATGTTCGATCCATGCAGCCATCGCGTCTGGTGCAGGTTGAGGATGCAGGCGCCCTTTCAGAGAGGGTTGAGGGTGCTGAACATCCATTCTGCACCTCCGCCCTCGGTCTCAGGGATGGACCATGTGGGCTCCAACATGCCCTGCTCCGAGATCAAAGCTTCCGGTTGTGGGTGTCAAATGTGGAGACACCAAGGACCGAAGCCGAAGCGCCCGTAGGGGCCCCAACGGACAGGCCAGCCGAGAAGGACGGCAACCCGGGACGGGACCTTTGCCCAAGCTGTGTTGCGTGAGCGAGGTACTCGTAGTTGAGCTGGACAGCGAACTGCCTTGAAGGACGAAGAGGGCATTCCATGGCAACGTCTCGAGTCCAGGTCATGCCGGCGAAGCCTTAGGCTTTAGGTGCTGCGTTACGTTGTAGCATCTTGCCGCGGATTTGTATGTGTGGGATCCCGACTTGCCAGGAGGAAGCCAGGCCTCTTCTACTATTTCAACCCGCTGGACGGCTCGCATGAGGCTTGGAGGAAGCTCCTGTGAGTAGATCTTGAAGGTCCATGGCTTCTCTACGGAGTATGTGCTTTGTTCATGCAGTGCTTCCATCAATCTGCTGATTGAAGCCTATCCATGCTTGGCCAGGTTTGTGAGGCTCCTAAGTATTTGTTTCTCTGCGACGGGATATGGGAACTTTGCAGATCAAGCCGCCGGTCGTCGAAGCTCCGTGGCAGCTCTGCCGGTCCAGGTCGGTGTCAGGCCGCAGCCTGGGAAACTTGACGACAAAGCCTGTACATGAATGTGGAGCGAGTTGGGTGTGTCTCACCAGTCAGCAAACCGCCTGCACCACCACAGTTGACAGGTCAGTACTACTATTACAACCAGGCCTGCCCGACCGCTGGCATGTTTTCCGATGCATCCAGGTCTACAAAAACCCAGAGTCATGAATGTAACTGTTCGGTTCGGATGCGGTTTTGCAGAAGCGTATCAGGTTCATGCGGCTCGGTTCACGGTTCCTGGCGGTTCCTAAATCAAATTTCTTCAACCCTTAACAAAACAGCTGCCCTTACACACATCCCAGATGGTGCTGCCGCCTGTTTCTACTACCGCCGCTACTTCTCGTCTACTGCTACTTAAGACGACCATTGCTACCACCATTGAAGCGGGCTGCCGGCGAGCAGCTCCGGCCGCTGGGCCGGACGCGGCGGAGTCCAGGGTTCCGCGCTTTTGGGCCTCAATTCGGCCAGAA